TAGACCACTTGTAAAAATCATAGACGAAATTTATTTTCCCATACTTTTCCAGGCTTAAATTGTCTGATCGCATTCTCTTTCTATGGTAGTATAAGAGGAATTTTAAGTATCTATAATAGACGAATTTTGTCTCATAATATGCAAAAATTGTTTTCAGAATATGAAATAATCCATAGTTTAATAATTTAAAATTGTTGTACAAATTCTTAATTTTCAATTTAACCAATTTTGCTATAGATATTTTCTAACTTCGTAACACGGTCATGAATTATTCTTTAACTTTCCTTTATTCTATCATTTTCATTATCATATAAACAAATATATATGAGGTCATCCATATATGCATTTAAACCATACCTTATTGTCTATCAAATGTTCAAACCAATTCAATTTCATAGCTACTAAAATATTTTCCATAGAATGCCTCATATCCTTGATTTTTCACGTACCTTTACATCACAAATATACTTAAATAATTTTTATTTACCTAATTAGACCTTTACTCATAACATTGATGCTATAATATTTTATTTACTATTTTTAGTGGTTTTTAATGGTTTTTTGAGTAAAACGTGGAATGTAATGGTTTTATTATGATATATTTATTTGCGTTTTTTTTTTTGCCTCTATATGTATGTATATTCGATCAAAAGGATTACTCCGATTACCACCAAATAAAAATTAAAAAAGAAAATATGGGCTTTTAATAGTATGATTAAAGAATACATTTTAAATTTCTCAATATTTTTTGAATAATTAAGAAAAACTGAGAATAAATTTCAAAAAACCTTAAATTTTTAAAATTAATTAATTAAAATATATTTCTTAAATTTTCTCATTTTTCTTAATATTTGAACCCACTTATAATCGCTTATTATTTTGTCAATTTTAGCAAAAATATAAAATTATGAAAATCCAGTTTGTAAAATTTTGTAAACAGAAGTAAATAAAATTTTCAATTTTTATACTGAAAATCTTAAATGAAGTTCAAGATTATTCGCAAGATTTTCTTTGTATCCAAAAATAAAAATAAATACTTGAAAGTTGCAAAAATATTTCATAAGAAATACAGAATGAAATTTTGATGAAATTGGATATTCCAACGAATTTCCATGAAGGTATATAAGTTATTTAATAAAATGTATTTCATATTTTTGAAATATCTATACAAATGTGTGCTATTCATAAGTAATTGAAATTTTCCATTTTTATTTTAATTTTTAATTTTATACTTATTTTAATTTGAGTCATTGTTCTTTAAAATACTCTTTAACCCTATAATATTGATAAACTCTACAGTTGGCTTATAATCTTAAAAAAAATTTAATAATTAAATATATTTTATTTAAATTAATATATAAATAAATAAACAAATATTTAATCTTATAAAAATAATTAAATAAATATTTAGCCTGGAGTATTATTTTATTTGTAAAGTATAACTTGGTTTGAATTAAAAATACATCATCAGGTATTTATAAAGTGAATAAAATCGTGACTGAATATAAAAAAAATAAATTAATACATCAAGAAAAATTGTTTGTTTTATATAGAGATAACTTATTTTATTAAGATAGATTATTTAAAATGAGTTCTTATTAGATATAGATATTTTAAGAATTATAAATACTTTGATTAATATTTTTTACTATTTTATAAAATCTATTGACATAAGATATTATTTTTAAAATGGGTTTATATTTTAAAAATATTATTTAAATTATTTTTGTTTAGGTCATTATGTATGTATAACTTTTCTAAAACTAAATTAATGTAAATTTTATTTTGGGTATTTAATATTTCTAAGTCTGTATTGATATCAAAAAGTATATTATGATTATTTTTTAAAACATATTTTGCCATATTTGAATCGGGTTATAAATAGTATAAAATGACAACAAAAAACCATTTATTTTAGAAATTTAAAGTAAGAAGTCGAACCTTAAACAGTATACTAATTTTATTTAATAATAACGTGAAAGTCGTCGTTGTTAGATTTGCTATATTATCATAATAATGACTTTTAGGAAATAATACACATAATATGAACAGCTACATTTTAGAATTTAGAAGATTAGGGCAACTGATTCAATAAAATAATAACTTTAGTAATTATGTGTGCTCGCTCTCGATTATCATTTTGACGAGGTTACAAAATAAGTTCGATGATTCACGTGCGACTTCTCTTCCTTCATGCTGACAATCTGTTCCTGTCATCTATCTTCGTTTCTTAAACTCTTCGAAAAAAATATGGTATCATAATTTATTTAAATTAAATTTCCAATTTAAATAGGAAATCTTTAGAATAATCTTAGTATTTATGTATAAAAACATTACGAAATTGATATAGGTAAACACGATAATTACAATAATAATAATATATCACAAAAACATCAATAGCTGTATATATTTGTTAATGTTAAAATGCATATAATTAAACCATGAAAATATATTTGAAAAACGGAAAATGAGCCTTCTCTGTGGCAAAAACAAAAAAGATTAAAATAAAATATACAGAATATATCTATTAAAGATAAATAATATATATCTTTAATAAATTAAAGTTCATATGAAAACCATTAGCTATATATAAAATCAACTATTGTATAATACTAAATCATAACAATACATATTTTAATAAAAATAACAAATATTTTTTTAATTTTTTTTTTTTAAATATTTAAATCATTAAATAATTTAAAATTCTATGGTAAACATTTAATTTCAAGTTAATTTGTAGTACACGATTGAATAGTACTTCACTACTTCTGTCATGTCGTATGATAAAATAATAACTCAATATTAACATCGATGAGTAAATTAATGAATTTTATAATTATACATATTTTATATACTTAGTGTTAAATTAAAAATAGTGAAATGGATATCAACTGAAAAATTATTTACATGGTCCTTTCCTAAATAAGATTTTATGAAAAATTTATTATAAAATTATAAATAACAAATATTCGGAGCATTAGGTATGTATCTTATAAATAATATTTTATGTAAATACGTATTATAAAATGTCGGATAGAAATGCCGAACATTGAATGGGACAAGTTTTTTAACACCCTTCCACCACCGAAATAAAAACACCTGTATGTTGGTAGTCCTAGCTGTTTTTTATTTATCTTGTGTATCTACAATACTCTCTCTAAAACAAATTACTATATAGCAAATATTTTTCTTTCGTTTTGGATTATGAAATATCCAAAGTCGTGGTCGGAAAAAAAATTCGAACAAAAGAGTAAATTGCCCATGGCTGTTCAGACAACAAATACACTTTTGTTTTGCTGGTTTCGGTTAGAGCCAAATCGATTTAAAGATACGAAGATATGAAATAACATGCATTATGTTGGAGTACATAACTGCGTTTACTATGTGCATTCCACACACGACTTTATTAAAACCCATTTATAAAAATACGGACTTTATTTATTACGATAACACAATAGGTACAACAGTTATAATATATATATATATATATATTGTATATGTTATGTATACATACAATATACGAAAAACTTTAGCAGTATGTGATAGTATATATAGATTAGGTATGTAATGTTTATATTTTTATCAAAGAATATGACAACAATGGGCGACTCAAAAGCAAAAAATCGCAAACGATTCACCGTCTAGTCCATAATACGACGTAACAATACAATTATATTATGTATTCAAGATCTATTTAACAGTATATCTCATACAACATGGTTATTATAAGATAAGCAAAATATATGATTTTTTTTTTTCTGTGATTTAGCTGAACGAATTGTAAAGGAATTGTTCTTACATTTTTGCATCAGGAATGAGTCATGTAACTATATCAAATAAAAAGTATAGAGACGTGCACTGGGTTAAAAACGAAATTTATATCTGGAACAGATGATTTTTGAGGTAGTACATCAGTACACGTTTAGAAGAATGCGTATCTGATGGAGAAAATAATTTACATTGACCTTTCATAGTTAGACTTTATATTTGTTTCTTCTGAGTACGGTCAGTACAAGAATCAAAAAAAAATGTAAACGTGAAGTAAGTCTACGTGTGTATTAGTCACTCAGGCTTACCCATGAAAATGTGGAGTAACTTTTGCTATACACAGACTCCAAGACTTTTAAAAATCGCGGATACCTTAACAATTTTTTTTTCGAATAAATTTCCTATTTACAAAATATCTCAAGTTATCATAATCGATATTTTAATATATATTTAATATTGGAAATTATTTAGGTACATGAAAACCATATACTTTTGATAGTTACTTTTATCATATTAAATTTTACGTACAATTTAATATTTTATTTTTACTACGTTTAAGATTTAATTTATAACTTTGATTTTTATCATGTGTTGCATTTCAGATATCAGTTTTGTGAACAACGGACCTGGTACTAAAAAATTTTAACCGTAGTTTGGACTCTATGTTTACCGTTCGGTTCGGAACTAATTATTGTTAATAAGGGCAGAGATAGTTAAATTCAATGATTTTGTTTACATTACGTTCGCAAATTCCACAAACTGTTTTAAAAACGTAGTCGGAAGACATCCTATAGAAAACAGTGACTTAAAGCAGCAAATACGATACACGATCAGGCTCAAAGGGAGGACACCAGAGCCATGCCCCCCCCCCCAGGTTTTTCAAAAATTTAATTTTTTTAATACATTTTCGTCCTTGTAAACTGTAAAATCCCAATAATTTAAGTAGATACCTACCTAAGAATTTAATTTTACCTAAAAAACCATATTATGACATTAATATGAGGTATTAATATGTGTATCATAATATAGGTACGTAGTCGGACTTAGTGTTTCAGTTCTAATTCGGGGAAACAACTATTATCTGTTAATACTTAAAATGCACCCCCCTGGTGAGTCTCTGAAGCCACGCCTGTTCAGGACGGTGCGTGACGGCCGCGGGTCCACCGAAAATGTGGCAGAGCGAGGACCACGGTTACCGACAGTAGGTGTATAGAAGCGCGTATAATCGCTACCTGTGATGTTCCAAAGCTCGCCCAGACAGTCGTTCTTGAGGCGGCCGATGCGGTCGCGCTGCTGACGCTCGTTGCCGGCCTCCAGGAACCGGAAGACGAACGCGCCGACGATCACGTAGCCGGCGACCAGGCCGAACAGGCCCAGGTTGCTGAACAGGTGCGCGAAGAACTTGCGCACGCACCGGCGGAACCGCGGTTCCGTCGAAGCATACTGGACGGGTGGCGGCGGCGGCGGCAGTAGCAGCAGCGGCGACAGTGGTGGTGTCGCCGGTACCGCGTGCGCCGGCATCGCACTCGCGCGAGCACCACCCCGCGAGGGCGTGCTACGTCAACGGCGGTGTATGCGGGCGAACCGGTCCGGCGGCCGGTGAACGTGCAGCGGAAACGCGTCTCGCCCGCGGGCGGCGTACGGGAGAACGTGTGCGAATAGCCGACCAACGGACAACGGACACCGGTCGCGCACCGCACCAACCACGGCCACGAGACTACTGAACGGATTCGGCCGTTACCGTCGCGCGACAAGTCGCTCTCGCCCGTTCGCCACCCCCCGCGTTCAAAAGTCCACGCGGCGCACGCGCAATCACGGCCGTCCCTCGACGCGGGTAAATCGTGGCACCGCGCGAAACGTTGAACATTTAATCGTCCTGAAAAGACGCGTCGCGTATTTCCTCCCGTCGACCTGCAACAAGATACTGCGCAACACATTTCTACGTTATCGTCCGAGAACGTGCGAGACGACATAACGCAACCGTACGGAGGACGAATTTTTTTTTTTTTTTTGTTACATGCCATTTATGATAGACCCTTTGTAATCAATGTTTCCCTGTAATGTGCATACATCAAGTTACCGTTCCACTCCGATATCAGGTCCATTACCCATGATGTAATCAACTTTACGACTCTTCTAGCTGCATCCATACATCGTTGTTTCGGCCGTGATCTTTCCCTAATTATATTGTTCGCGAGTACTGTTTTCGTTACACGATATTTTCTTTTTTTTTTTTTTAATTTGATTCAGACGAACGAGTTAGTATTCAAAAAATGTTTAAAATTAAAATGTCCTACTATGAGTATAATATTTACAATGAGATCATCATTGCAAACATTGAAATCAATTTTTATTTCTTCTAAACAAGTATAATCTGCATCAAACAATCTCACGCTCCATAAATCGCCATGTCATTAGAATAGGACTTGATAAATAGTAGATACCTACTCTGGAACAGACATTGCTATGAGATATATTGAGAAGTTACATAATAGAAGAATATAAAAATACTTAATAAAGATTATGTTATCCTGTAACCGAATGTTCCTTATACATGTTAACAGGTTTGACATCCATTATGTATTGTTACCAAAAACGTTGCAAATTACAATGATTATTTAATCCGGCCGGATTTCTATATTTTTAATACCGGTATTTAGTCGATAATCTTCATGAAAACGTTTGATGAAGTTAGTGTTTATTATTTTAAACGTGAATAACATTAAAGTAAAATAGTTTGTATATAATATTTAATACATAGTTGTTTATAAATGAGAAAATTTAAAAATAGATAACGATTCTAAAATCCTATTTTTTATACTAACTATTGTAGAACTCAAAAAATATTTTATTCATAACATTGAGTATTATGTTTTTCATCGATAAAAATAGGTAATACTCGAATAAAAATCTTTTACGCAGCTTTTAAGCACCTGAAGAGTTCAATAGTATGTGTACATAGAAATGCGCATAAAGAGAGGAACTGAACGATACGTTGACAAATTTTTTTTTTTTTAAATTCCGGTAAAAATTACCAGATAATCGAATGGGAGTGGTCCCGGATCCCAACAAAACCGATATCGTGTCGAAAATTTTGTTTTTCTCCATGTGCGTCGAGTACAGAAAAAAAAATCTTAACGTTTTTCAAAATTTATTTTGCACTCCTGTAAAATTTACTTTTTTACCCTTCGGTACCTTTTATATGCCAATTAACATATAATTAATTTAGTATAATTAAGTGATCATATTATTTTATTATCTTAAAGTTTATATGAGTATCAGATATTATTTACTTTTATTGCTAAGTCAAATGTTGTCTAAAATACTGTTTAATTTTTAGTTTTCTACAGAAGTATAAGAATAAAACATTAAAAGTTATACATCAATAACATACAAATAAGTAAGATTTGTTATTAAAATATTTTACATTTATAAATTAAATATTATTGATAATTGTATGTATGAAAAATTTGGCTCAAATATTTTATTTGTAGTATGTGAAATTTTACATAATATGAATTCACATAAGACAAAAATGCTTAGAAATAGAAATAAGTACGTAAGTACCATATATAATATATATATATATATATATATATATATATCTGTATAATGACATGTTTTTTTTTTTTTTTGTGTAACCTTAAGCTTTTCTTTAAGCCATAATGTAATTTTTTTGGCAAATATTTTTAAACAATATTATTTTTAAAGTATATATATATATATATATTTCTAGTATATTTTAAGTGTATAAAATATAGTATTATAATATATTTTATAGCATTAATATCTATTAGATTAGTAATACTCAGTTCTTAATAATTGTAGATCGTAATAAAAACAAATTAAATTAAGTATTTAAGGTTCGATTACATGTTATAACAAGCCATGGTACTATTGTTAATTAGGTAATCTATTATTGATTCAGCCTATAATTATTAGTATATGATATTGAGTGTTTGAGTATAAAATTAATTCTGTATAACTTTACATAAAACGAAATAAGTATTTAATTATGTGATAGTACATAATATCAGTAATTATGAACACCCCATATTCTATAATCAATGATAATATCTATTTTAGATTTTATTCAAAATTTTTTTTGCATATAATTAAAATTTAAAATTCATATAAATTAGTAATGAGTCTCTAAATTGAGGTAATACACAAAATATTGTTGTAGTTAAATGTAATTGAACACCAATTCTCTTTTTAAAACAATTATAATTTAACGAAACCTTATGTAAAATCTGTATTCATAGTATAGTAGAAAGAGTAACACCAATGTCAACCGATAATAAATGTCTGATACTAAAAAAATATGTTAAACCATTTCTATTTTTAAAAATTGTCGAATTTTGTTCGATATACTGATTCTGGTTCACTGCTACTTGCTGGTGACAGTTCTTCAAGGTTAAATATAGTTCTAAAAATAAATGAGTATATTTAAATTTTAAGACAAACTAGATTCGATTTTTAACTATTTATATTACATCGTTAGTAATATTTTCAGTGCGAAAGCAAGTATCACTTATGCAAGTAATTATTATATTATTTACTTTTCTTGTATTTATGTGTACTTATTATTTTCTCGTTTTGCAACCTAAAAATATGGATAGCAATATTTACAATAGTGTAAATCAGTTTAAAGCAGATTTACAACTATTATAACCTTTTCTTACATTATTACGTTTAGAATGTAAAGTTCATCCGAATTTACCAAAATCTCATAGATAATGTTTTTACTTTTAAACAGTTACCTACTGAAACATTATTCTAAGGTTATCTATAAATATTTTACTACAAAGTAATTTATTAAATTAATACTCATATACAATACTCATAAACAGAAAAACTATGTACGTTTTTAATCTAGAAAAAATTGATTTAGGTAGTATAATATTCAATTTACATCCCTATATAAGTTAGTTAAAATTATTTAAAATATTTAATATAAATGATTAAATAGCAAGTTAATATTATTACATAAAAAACCAAATTATTGATAGTGTTCTATCTAACAATACAATTATTTATACCGTCTTACTAAATACCTAATAATTAGTATTTACAAAAACTTTTTTAACATATATTGGAACTTCTTGTGTTTGTACACAAATGTTACCCTTTATTTAAGTGTTCATGTTTATTTTCAGGCTGTTGAGATAAACAAATAAAAAACGGCCTTTATCTTTTATAATGTAACATTTTTATACGAGCAGCATATTATTTTCTTATTTTAGTTTATTTAACATAAATAAGTTTTAAAATAATAATATTTATCTGTAATATTCAGACGAAATATTGATTGACATCAAACATCTGTTATCGTATATATATTTGTAGTCTAAACATCTTCTAAATAATTTTAAATGTTGTTATACTTATAATTACTATTTCGGAAACCGCATAAATAAAAGCAAGTATTTTTCTCAATTTTAGGTTCTCGTGAAGTAATTATAATAAGTTGTTTAAATTTTCACCATGATTTATAAACAAACATTCACTAATAAATTACTCAACTACCATATTATGTAGTATATGTACTAAATAAATAAATACTTTTTGTGTTCGCTCAAATAAAATCACATATTTATCATACAATTTATTTTATTATTTATTTATAGTATTTTTTTTTTTCATAAATAACTTATTAACCATTCACTTTTTTTTAATTCGTTTGGTACCCAATCAATTTTAAAAATGATGATTTTATATATTCAACATAATTTTCACTTACAGAGAACTCTTTCTTTTAAATAATTATTATTCAAGATTAATGTTTCATTTGAAGTATTTGATAAATTGAAGTTAAGAAAATAATCCCTTTTCAATGCTATAAGAAATAGACAACAAATTTAGCAATAGCCAAAATCAAATTAAAAAAGTGGTTTTTTTAAATTGTTTTTATTAAAAGTACTTTAATATAATTTATGTATTATATAACACATTATACTCGTAATTAAAATTTTAATATAACTTAAATGCACAATAATAAATTTGCATAATATTGAAATATGTGAAATAATAAGAATTATGATTTTCACATGTCTATAATTATAAAATAATGCAAATTAATATCGTAACAATATTATGGACATTCTAAACTTGAGTCGTTGTAATGTCTTGTAATTTAATCAAAACATTAAGTGTATGTACGTTGTTTATATACTTCAAAAATCGTAAACTATTTTGAATAAAATTATTACATTTGTATAGCCTGTAATATTACGATATTAACATTTGAAAGACGGTTATAAAATATAAAACATTAGTATTTCCATAGTATAAAAATTAATATGTTATCTATAAAATGTTTATTGAAATATAAAAGCTCCTCATAAAATGTTTAATAATAGTAGTTTTTTATTATTTGCAGATCAATACTTTTATGAACTTATTTATGACTGCAATTTTATTTATCTTAAATCCATAAAGTCGATTTCCTTATTTTTTTTTTTATATTTAATATCTGATAATCGTCAGAAGTTGGAATACATTAATTTGCTAATTTAGTGTTATGTGTACTTGATTTTATAAATAATATGGATTGTAAAATTAATTTTTCTATTTACTTAGTAAAATTTAATATAACAATCAATTTTTCAAAATAACACATTTTCATACAAAAATTATTTATTATCAATGGTTTAATTTGTCTTTTAAATGTGTATAATTACAAATTAAGATTAATAAATGTTCATTGGTACAGGAATAATACGTAAAGA